ATTGTAAGATGGAAAAGCATCACCAATAAGAATGGAGACTATTTCATTTAATAAATGTTTTGTTTTGATATATAAGTTGTTTGGTTTTTTTCATTTAAAAAAAATGACATTAATTTCTTGATGGCCTATTGTTTTCCATGTAGTTATTTTGGCAATACCTGTTTTACAAACTAAGTGTAATATAGTGATTCTGGTGTTATGGTGATGAAGTTAATACTTGATGAAACTCCATAATTACAGAATTGAGGAAAACAAAGGCAACTTTACAATTCATGGTACCTTGATGATGTTTTTACTGGTGAAACCATGGTTGTAATAAATGAAATATTTGTAAAACAGTTGTCATTGTTTGTCTGCAAGCTAAGATATTATTGTTGTAAAATATGATTTATTATCCATACTATTAGTGAAGAAAATGTTTTGTAGCTAGTAACAACCTACTAGTTGTAAAATACTGTATTTGTAGCTAGTAACAACCTGCTAGTTGTAAAATACTGTATTTGTAGCCAGTAACAACCTGCTAGTTGTAAAGTACTGTATTCGTAGCTAGTAACAACCTGCTAGTTGTAAAGTACTGTATTCGTAGCTAGTAATAACCTGCTAGTTGTAAAATACTGTATTCGTAGCTAGTAACAACTGCTAGTTGTAAAGTACTGTATTGTAGCCAGTAACAACCTGCTAGTTGCAAAGTACCGTATTCATAGCTAGTAACAACCTGCTAGTTGTAAAGTACTATATTCGTAGCTAGTAATAACCTGCTAGTTGTAAAATACTGTATTCGTAGCTAGTAACAACTTGCTAGTTGTAAAGTACTGTATTCGTAGCTAGTAATAACCTGCTAGTTGTAAAATACTGTATTTGTAGCTAGTAACAACCTGCTAGTTGTAAAGTGCTGTATTCATAGCTAGTAACAACCTGCTAGTTGTAAAATACTGTATTCGTAGCTAGTAACAACCTGCTAGTTGTAAAATACTGTAGTCAATGTCTGATAATGAGGTTCGTTTTGCAAATTTGTTAATTTAATTGTGAGTTATGTACTGTTTTTATGCATGTAACTCAGGTATCCCACCACATATTGATACACACTCTGCTTTTGAAGATGGAATCATATCATTAAGCTTGGGATCACAGGTAATAACATGATTTTGTTTACTGGAAAATACAGTCAGTTATTTAGCTGATACATTATTCTTACCCTGAGAGAAATGTATAATTTTAGTTTCTGCTTTCAAGTCTTTCCATTGTATGTTTTACTTTTATTGTTACTTGTAAATGTGGTACTTAAATTAAACCACCATTTATAGCTTATTCATGCTTTCAGGAAAATAATGACAAACTTTGTAGCTTGAAATAAATTATATTGTAATTACTCCTACGTAGAAATATGTGCAGTACATGAACATCACCAGAACTTGGTCACTCCATAGTCGTTAAAGCAACACTTGCAGTCATTTGTTTTATTGTTTGCTTAAGCTTTGAACAAGCCTAACTGTAGACCCTAATTTTTTCAAGTGCTGCCATATTTTATGTATAATGTTTTTACATGCTATTTAGTAATATTAATTCTATCATAAAACAGTTCAGTGTATGGTAGCTATATATTAGAACTATTAAATTTATAGTTTTGAAATTAGATTCCTGCAGAGTCTACATTAACCGTGATTAACTTGACACAGTATTGTATTCAACCAAATGCTTATTTAGTGTATGATTTTATACATATTTTAAACTTGTATGATAGGCTCATTAAAAATAGTACAAATATTATAATGGCTTATTACTGTTTTTTTCATGTGTGTGAAGTGGAATGTATATGAAAGTAAGTTAGAATATGATTTTTATTGTATTCATGTTTTACAAATAATAAGGTGAAATAATTGCAAGGAAAATAATGTAAAATGTGTATTATCTTTAATAATGAATTCAATTACCTGAGTATCCTGTATCGATTATCCTGATAGTACAAAGCTGCTGCTGTTGTAAATGTGTTGTTGAATAAAATATCTGAAAGATTTCTTTTTATGACATGAATTTCCTTTAAAATCAAAAGTTAATAACAGACTAGTCATTATAGCATAATAAACAGTTGGCATTGCTTGGTGAAAGGGAACCTGTTTTAGGCCTAAAAGTAGGTATCAAAAGTCACATAAAGTGCAGAATTTTTTAATGTTCTAACAGATTCTGTGCTATAAGTATGTAGAAATAATTTGAAGCTTTTTTTTCTGCTGCAACTATAATGACTTTTTTATTTTAGTATCAGAACCCATCATTTGAACTTGGCATAGTAAACAGAAGCCAATAAGAAATGCTGTTTACATGCATGTTTGCAGATGAATGTCTATTTATAATCAGTGCTAAACACGAAAGCAACCATGTAATTTCAAGACTTTTTGTCTCATGTTATTAGAGATAAAATGAGCCAAACAAAATATATGTAGTGATGTATTTACTAATTTGTAGAATAGTTATTGTTGGGATTTCTAAATTTAAACATCCACAGTTTCTTTAAACAGTGGAGCACATCCATCCTCATTCCATTGAAATACTCTAATTGTATAAGGCCATTAGAGATTATGCATGTGTGCTAACATTTTAAGAACATTATGAAAACTGTTTTTACTCTTCATAAACATTTGCTCATATGTAAAATGATTACACAGCTTGAATCTGTAGTTTGTAGTGTCCTCCCTACATTACATTTCCATGGAATTATCTTGGAATTTTTCATTTGGATTCATGGTAATTCTGTATTTGCCAAGATTAGACTTTTTTTCGATTCACTTTTCTTTTAGAGTATCTAATTTAATAAAATTATTTGACGACTCTAGTGTTTTTAAAATCCACAGTAATTTATTGTATCAAGTTATAAAAGCAATATAAAACTAAAAATTCTATATGTTTTCATGGCACACTCTCCAACTTCTTCAGAAAAAACAGGAAATTTCATTTATGTACTTAAGTAAATGTACATGTACAGTTTGCCTATTGTACAAAATTGGTTTCCAGAAATTTACTTCCATGGCACCAGGACCAAAATCATTTTTTAACTTGACTTCTTTATGTATTTCTATATTATTCCAATCAATACGAAGTGAATAGTTTGTCACATGTTCTGCCAAGGCCAAATCACTAGTTTTTAACAACAGCATTTAATATCTAACTTGAAATGTTTGCCTAACATACTTAAACCACAATTACAAGAAATTTTATATATTCCACATCTATCCTTCACTTCAATCTTATCTTTAACAACAAAATGATATTAACTTATTTTAGTTGACGAGTAAATGTTATTTAACAAGTCCTATTTTTCATTAATGCATTACCTATTTTTGTTGATAATGATGGAACATGTAGCAGACATATTCTTTCCTTATTTCCCTTTTTTATCTTATATATGTTTTTTATAGATCCTATGTATAATATCAGGTTCATAACCTCTCTCAGTTGCTATATATTTTAAATAATTCAATTCTAACATTATATTTTCATTACATAAAGAGACATTAATGGTCCTATGAACAGAAGACAAAAATGAGAACATTTTCTGTGATAATGAGTGACACGATCTTGCACGTGGACACTGAGAACAACTTCCTGTATACCGAAGTAGACAGAAAGCCATCCTCTCTTTTTACAGAAATGTCCAAAAAATTCTTCTTCAACTTCTTAAGTGAATTATATTGTGTGGCTGATAGAATTAAGATGTGTCTGGAAATCAATTAACATGTTATCCTGCATACATTTGTTTCTCATGTTTATACATAATGTCATTTCCATTAATCAAGAGAATCTTGTGTATATTTGGATGTTTTGTTAATCAGAAGAATCTTGTGTGTACGGTGATGTTTTTCTTGTAATCCTGCCCTTGTTATAGGAATTTAGAAGAAAAGTATATTTGAAAAACTAGTTTTGTTGGAAATATGATATATATTGTTTCAATTATATAATGTTAATGCTACTCTTGTTTCTGAGAGAAATACTGTGGATTATTTTATAGAACAACCATTGTGTATGAATAATTATGAGCCAGAAATATCAAACTGGTTTGATCAATATCTTATATTGATCAAATGTATGAATGTCAAAGTAAAATTTCTGTGATGCAGTTGTGTTGAATATGGACAAAAATCTTAAAACTTCTGAAGTAAAACAGTTATATTTGTTTTGTATCAAAAGTTTCATCCATATGAAAAATTTTAGATTAACTAGTACATTACATTTTCATTTATTAGTTGTATATTGAATTTATTTAAATACACTTTAACAGATCGTAATGGATTTTCAAAATCCTGCTGGAGAGCATGTTCCTTTCCTTTTACCTCGTCGAAGTGCTTTAATAATGACAGGTGAAAGCAGATACTCGTGGAGCCATGGGTTAGTGTAACTTGTGTTCAGATTTTCAATGTAATAAAACTTTTGAGCACTCTTTTAACAGATTTTGTTTGAACCTTTTTTTTTCTTACATTTTATTTAGAATTCTTTTGGCGTTTCATACTCTGGAACCAGTTTTGACCAGTTGGTCATTGTAAGCTGTGAATATCTTTTTTTTCCCTTAAAATTAAATTTTTATGTATAAGTAAAATTTTAGTTAGTTATTAACAGTGAAACTCCAACACTTAAAAAAGTAAATAAAAGAAATAATAACCGTTTTGTATGGTTACTACTAGAATAGGTACCAGCTGTGAGTGTTTGAGCACCATGAAGCTATGAAAAAGCACTCCAAGTCATATGGAAAAGTTGGTGCTTATGATAAGTAGTGATTATTTCTTTTCTGTTTATATATATCAGCTTTTGTGTGCTTAGAAAGTAGTTTATTTTATCATTTTATATATATCTATCAACTTTTGCAGCAACAGTTAACAAATGTTTTCCAAGGTTTTTAAGTTATATTTCATTAATTTTACTGGATGTACCCCAAAGCTTGTTTGATCTTAAATATTCATGTGTGTATGTGTCATGATTGTACACAAAGGACTTGTGTTATACACTAATATTTGACACAATCATTATTTGGGGAACTCTATAGTTACAGAATTGAGGAAAACAAAAACAATTGTATATTTCATGAATATTTCATTTACTACAATCATGAGTTCACCAGGGAAATCATGGTCGTAGTAAATGAAAAATTTTTGAAATGTACAATTCTATATATACTTGTGTGACCTTCCCAATGTGTGTGTGTGTCATGGAGGTACAAGAACTCTTGTGTGACTTTAACAATGTTTTTATGTCAGTAATGTTTTTAGATGTAGAGAAATGACTTGTGATCTTACCAATATGTCTGTGTCGGTAGTGGTACTGGATGTATAAAAAGACTTGTGTGACTTTAGCAATGTTTGTATGTCATTAGTGTTGTTGGATGTATAAAAAGATGATCTTGCCAATATGTCTGTGTCAACACTATCACTGGATGTATAAAAAAGACTTGTGTTCTGCGACTTGGAGATTACACAATGACCTACCTACTGTGGCTTGAGTGGCTGAGTTTCTCACATGGGTTTTTGGCTGGAGGTCTTTGGTCCCTTCACCTTCGGGTTATTCAGCTGCCTTATCCCATACCTTTCATTTTTCCCATTACAGTCAAATTTTTTCTTCCCCTATCCTTAACATGTTAATGCATTCCTTCCGGATTTGTCAACCCCCCCAGACAGCCTACTCTTCCGGACTGGAATCTTAATGGTGTCCTCCATTCCCTCATTTTATCTTCATTTGAACCACTTTCCTCATGTTCCATGTTTCACCTTTCCCTTAAAACATATTTCTTTCTTCTCTTAGCCTGTGGTCTGATTTGTTTGCCATTGACATTTTATATATGCTTTACCACCTTACCTATCTTCTCCTTTATGTGGCTGCTCCTTCCTCCTAAAGACCTCAGTGGCTAGGGATGGTAACTCCTCCTTTTCTCCTATTTCTTTTCATTCTATTTCTCATCTTTATCCTCGTCCCAATCCAGATAGACTTCTCTGTCTGGTTTGTACTCTTTGTTTTATTGCATGCATGGCTTCCTTCTGTGGTACCCATTCCCGACTCTTTATCTCTTCACAATCTTCCTCTGATTGGGATCTTTTCCCTTCTACCCTCACAAATTGGGTTAAACTTTTGATTCAATTGGCTTATTCCTCCTTCTCATCTTCCTCCAGGAATTTGTTCCAGGTGTATTCTCATCAGATTTGATACCTCACTTTTCCCTTGTATCTTGTCTTCATCAGCCATTGAAGGAAATCCTACAGTTGGGCATGTGAACTACACCTAATACGTTTGTTTCCCATTATTTACACCATATCTTTTTTCTTCCTTGTTGAGTTTTTGTCTTCCAACTGTGGCCATTCTTCAGGCTTCGGTGGAACTTTGAATGGGTACGTTTATATTCATACTTTTCTTTTTCTTTCAGGGGCCCTTGCTTCATTTACTCATTTTAAGATTCCTGCTCTGTGGCGAGTGACAAGGTATTTTTCAACTTGAAATCTGCACTTTACAGCTATGTTGACTCGTGCTTTATCTTCTATGGCTTCGCAGTGCACACTTTTGAGATGTTTTTTTCCACAAGATCACGTGTAGGCAAATAACCTCATGATGTAATTATTTCATAAACTTGCCCATTCCTGACTATACCACCCATGAACTGCATGGGTAAAACAGAAGGGGATAGTTTCCCATCCCTACCATGTCTTGTATTAAATAAATTGTTATGTTCTGCTTTTTAAAATTGCACTGTCTTAGGTGATAACGTTCCTCTGGACTCTCCACCGCATTCTCATCCCCCAAGCCGCTGGGGTGGTTGACCCTGTAGGCACCCTCCTGAATGGGTTCCACACAAAGATGGCTATAATCATTCAGTGCAGAGTAGGACAGTGGGGTTCTGCAAATGTAGATGACGTGCTATCCTCATATGTGCAATATGCTCTCACAAAGAATTGAGACTTCAAATTGTAGTTCACCCCATTGATTGGGAGTCCTCATCCCGCCCCTGCAAGGATGTCAGTACCCTGTCGCTGGGTTTTGAATTTAGAGTGGAACCAATCAACATAAATTCTTGCATGTTAAACGGTTGTCTATATTCCTCCCTCGATCATACTCCTTTTCTGTCCTTTTTGGTATCCTTCGTTGTATTTTATTCCAAGGATGTTATTGCTTTCCGGACGGTTCCAGTCAGTTTCACCGTTGGGGAAGTTGATTTATATTATATAGACATTCTTTCAATACTGGATGTCTGTTCCCCGGATTGATAGATCACAGCTAATACGTGTCATGCTCAGGAGTCGGAGTGGTTCTAGATTCACCCCAGTCTCTTGAACTTGAGGTGAAGATGGTATGATCCTCATCCTACCCCTGTATGGCTGTCGGTTCTCAGTGGCATGGGTTTTGGATGTAGTTGATTTACCAAGTATGGTACTTTGCACCCTAGCCACTCTACACCTGGGAGGCATGTACATTGTTTTACCCACTTTTATACTTTGCCGGATTGAGTTATATATATATGTATTTACGTGGTTAGGATCACTATCTTGCGACAGTTCTCTTGGATGTGTTCCTCTCTTTTTCCACTCTTATCTACTACACATTTTACAGATGGATGAAAAGTATACCTGGTTCAGAAGTGGTGCTGTTCCACTCATCAGATCTTCTGATCTGACTCTCTCATTTCCATGGGTACCCTTTGGACATTTTTGGGGGGTACTTCTGTCATTCTCTTGCACAGGTCCCACCACCTAATCAGTGTGGGATTCTAGCTAATATTGTGAGCAGAGGGAAATACCATATCGGAAGTTATAATTTTTCTATACTGAAAATGTATTTCTGATAGGTACTTCCCTCCGCTCACATTTCCCAGCCTTCCTCCCCACTCTCCTCCAGTGCTTACATCTTCTGCCAAACTTGAAGTGATAGTTTGGTAGAGGTATATAGAGGGAGTCACATGCGTCATGCTCCTATTGGTGGTGAAGTGATGCATAATGATTTACATGAAAGACATCTTGGAATAATTCAATTCCAATATGGGAAAGCGGAAGGCTTGTGGCATGTGTAAAAAAAAAAAAAAGAACAAAATACATATAGAGGGCATCACTAGATGAGAATAGCAAATCTTGTGAGAAGAGGGAAGTACCTATTGGAAATACATTTTCAGTATAGGAAAATTATAACTTGTGTGACCTTAAAAATGTGTGTATGTCAGTAGTGTTACTGGATGTATGAAAGATGTGTGATCTTACCAATATGTTTGTGTCAACACTGTTACTGGATGTTTAAAAAGACTTATGTGACCTTAACAACATGTGTATGTCAGTTATGTTGTTGAATGTATAGAAAGACTTGTGTGATTTTAACAATATGTCTATCTCAATAGTATTGTTGGATGTACAGAAAGACTTGTGACCTTACTAGTGTGTCCATGTGTTATAACGTCTGTTTTTGTTGTTGTTCTTTTTCAAATTCTTTTCAGAATCACTCCTAGGAAAACAGATGTTGTTCCTGATACAGATCATAGTGGACAGTTAACACTGATGCATCGAAGAACACGTGTTTCTCTCACATTTCGTGTCATCCGTAGAGGGGAATGTAACTGTGGTAAGTTCAAGGGGAAAGTTGTAATATATGAAATATGTTAACAGTAACTGTAACTTGTGTTTCAAATAGCAAATTTCTATACAATTTCAAGGAAAGGGAAAGTTTAGGAACTGTTTGTCAAATTATTTAATCAAGGTTAATTATTTATAGAACTTTCTTCCAATTAAAATGTTTTTCTCATGTGCTTATCAAGAATTTCACGGGTGCTTAAAAACCTGGAAGTCATGATAAATGCATAATTATAAATCCTGGAAAACACAACTTGTATGCCATTGTTTTAGAAAAGTAATGGAAAATAATTTTCACAACATTCATATTTCAGTAATAAGCATTTCTAATGTTTTAAATTTCAATTTGCATTAATTGACCATTCTAACTAGATAACTGGATAAAAATTGTTCATATTCAAAATGGAAGTATCATACTTAACCTGTTGATGTTTTAAGCAGAGATAATGACATTTATGGGCACAGTCATGAATAAAATGAGGCAAAGCAGTTCATTGTGAAAAATGATGACTTTGTTTAATTACTGTTTTTTATTGTTGTTTAGATTTCACGTGTTATGTTCATTCAGTATCATAAGTTTGTAGTAACAGTTTCCTTACCAATGTTTTCTACTAAAGTAATATGAAAACACACTTTAAATGAAACTCTCCAGCATAAAACTTGAAAATTATAAAAGTTGAATAATAAACATTAATATTACAAATATTATAGGTTTGTCCAAAATCAAACAAATTAGAAAAATTAACTTTGAATAAATGTAAATTGAAAAGGCTCTGTTTTGCCTCAAGACTAACGTGAAAATTAATATTTTCATGTGATACAGTGCTTGAAAAATATTATACCTAACATTCCCAAGTACTTTTTGTTTATTTGTTTAAACTCAGGTAGACTTACCTCTGAAATAGTGAAAACCTTTACTTGTTTGAACTCATGCTGTCAACAGAACATTATTCACATTTTCCGAAGTCTCTTACATGCTGCATAGCATACGTCCCTTACAAATAATTTTTCCACTCCACCTTTTAAGTGACTTATTGTGCATAAGTCAAGGGATCTTACATGAGCTTTGCTTTTTCACTATAAGTAATATTTCTTTCTCACAATCATGTTGAACAAATAGCTTGTGGTGTCAGGCTGATATTGTGAATACATTCTCAGCACTGATAGTTCCACGCATTCCTGACATTGTATACTGATATTACCGAAGGGTATGCTGTTAATGTGGATGCTTCATTTGCATACCAGTTGCCATATGTCTTTGGTTGATAACGGTTGTTTTTGCTCATGCCTCATTGCCTTCATCATTTCCAGAGCTGTATTGTTAGTCCTATTCCTGGACACTTCTGCTGTCAGATGTATTCTATATTTTAAACACTGGACCTAGTTCAGTCACACCTACGGTGTCATGTGAGGTGATTTCTGTTTTTGAATTTTTATTTCTGATATCTTCTCAAAATTCTGAGATTGGTAACAATTTTCAGAACTATTTCTTTACTGTAGCTCATTGTCAGGTTTCTGCCCTGCATGCTATTTGGCTTGTTTACTGCACTATTATAGATTGTTTTCGTGGATTACGATATCTAATTTGACATCCTTATTACCTACAAGTCTCTCTGCTATTGTTTCTATTACTACATGACTCATACTTTTTCCAATTGGGCAGTGTAGCAAGATGCTCATATATTAATCAGATGACCTCCACATATACATGGGTGTATTTAAAGAACAACAACAAAAAACAAATAAACACTAAAAGCCACCATAATACATAGTTTAGTTTTGTCTTTGTGGGTCATTTTCACTTGTTTCCTGTTCAGGGAAAGATTTCTAGTGGGAGTTGATATCTGATTTTGCTTTTAATTATCATTTAATTTTTGAGTCATGTACGTAATGTTTTTTAAATGCTCATACTTCTAGTGTAGCATACCCCCAGTGGTTAACTATAAGTTTAAAGACTTTCAATGCTGAAATCCTGGATTTAGTTACATGTGGTGGATGGAGGACATATAGCCTACAGTGTATCTTTGTGCTTATACATGTAAACAAATATTCAGGTAGCTTAGCATCACTGTAAGTGAGATGGGTCTTTATGACTCACTTATTGACACTGTTATGGATAACTCCTCCATACGGTACAGAATTTACGTGGTCATTTCAGATTTTTTTACCTATGGACCTTTCTCTTGTGTATTGGTTTCATTATATACTTGACTTTGATTTTCTTTTCCTCATTCATGATTCACCTTATCTAGCTTCTATTAGATTTTGGATCTGTAAGTTTGAGAATTTTTATTCTCATCTCTTTGTGGTGAAACAGACAACAGAGGGTTAGAGACTGATCATAGATATTTCCTGCCTTGTTTTTTATTTAGATTTACTTCATTTCAAAGTGAAATCTGTGTGATTCTCATGAGTTATTTTGTCAAGGTTTTTATGACAAATTTTCACATGACTCTTATATACATGTAATGATTAATTCATCTTCCTTTTCACGTGATGGAGCAATTTTTCCAATTATAGCTTCCTTTTGGTCTGGAATAGCACTGTATGAATTCTAGTTTTTCTTCCATACACATTCAGTAGTGATTGTCATCTTTACGTTAATGAGTAGAGGATTTTTGCTCAGTGCACTCAGTTGTCCTACCATTTCACTTTGTCTCTAGGACTGACTGTTGAAAAGTCTGAAGTCTCAGCTTGTATCTTGATTTTGGAATGGTGGCTTTTCTTTCATTGGTGGATATCTCCTTCTTATAACTGTGTATTGAGAGATTTGGATTGTTTCACATGTATGTGTGGAGTTGCTGACCTTGTTACCCTACACATATGTTTGCTGTGATTCCTATATTTTGTGTAACTACATTCAGACCATATCTTTCTCTGAGCTGGTATTTTGTGGTTTGTGCCAATGGTTTGGTCATCCTCTGCCTGACGATTTTGTGATAGCTGGGGATCATCTTCTGAGGTTTTACTGGTTTCCAGATCCAGCTTCTCTTGTGGCGGATGTTTTGAGCCCATTGGGAAAGGATTTTGCCTGTTCTTATAATTTTCTTTCCCAAGCTGGCATATTACACCACCATCCTCTTGTCTGGCTCAGAGGAATCCTATGCTAATACTTTTGCAACATTTTCCCACAATGACATTTGTCATCTCCAACTTCATGCTGGCTGTTTTATCAATGAAGCTAGCTTCTCCTCTGGGGTAGCTAGAATGTTTTAACATTCTTGCAGACATATTCTTTGATTGTTGGTTTCTTTTAGAGTTGTTGCATGAGAAATAAGGTTTTGTCTTTTTACAGCTACAAAGATTGCCTCATTTTCTTTACGTATGTATTTCATGATTCGAGCTTGCAGTATAAAAAGCTTGCAGTCATTTTATCTTGTCATATGTCAGGTCCCTTGTTGTCTCTTATGGTCAGAAACAAACTTATTCAACCTAATGCTCATACAACAAAGTCAAACTGAACAGTATGTTAGTATAATTGGAGAATTTTAAAATATATATATTCTTCTTCAATTGTCAAAATGAAAAGCTTTTACTTATACATCTTAATAGTATGAATATATACTATGTTGCTGTTTGGCTTACGATTCTTCTACAATAGATGTCTGTGACATGTTGGCGATAAATTCAACGATAAATGAACAGCACACACTTTACTTGTTTGGAAGATAATATATATATTTGGAACAAGTTAAACGTACGTACAACAAGTTCTTCAATACTATAGATATTACAGGGATATCATAGACACTATATATGTAGTTCTCTTCTTCTTGTCAAAAGTCCATTTAGGCCTGTTCAGTTACTTTAGAATTTCAGTTGACAAGCCGAACTATCTTCTCTATATTACTATCGTACTAGTACTAGTATTCTGTGTGTAATTCATGTACAGTTGTGGCACAAGTTACCGTAATCGTTTGGTCTTCTTTCTTCTGAATATCCTAAACTAAACAGTCATTTATAAAGAACATGAAAGTCATTGTTGCCATTTGAAAGTGGAAAACTAACCATCACTGCTCATGCATACCAAAGTGATCACAAAATCAAATTCATAGAAAGAAAATCATTACAGAACCAAAATATTTTCATCAAAGAGGTTTTAAGGAAATAGACAGACTCATAAATAATAACATAGGATTTCAACTAAATCCATTATGGAACAATATATGATGTAAGGCATGACAAAATGTGACTGAAAAAATAATTTTCGCAGATGTCATGGTTCTCACACAGTATACCTTTGAAAATGATCTAGTAGCTAATGATATCTCACCATGCCTCTTTCTTACATCTGCATTCTCATCTTTGTGTGGCATAGGAAATTTTACTTGACATCTCCACTCCAACCAGTATGGGGATTCATCCATGTATTTATTTATTTTTTATGCTTTGGTGTTCTGATTTCATTGTTTAGCTCATCCTTGGGGTCAGCTTTGGTCTTTTTTTTGGACACCCACTAATTTGGCTGAGTTGATATTTCCTAGCCATTTTAAATATAGATGAAGAGTGACAACTGCCTCTGGGCTATGTCCTTTCATTATATGTAAGGCTGGTCCACTTTGTTCATTCTTCCTGGTCTTCAGTTTTAAAAATTAATTCTTGTTCTGAATCCTACTCTGATTCTGCTTGAGTAAAATATTTTTTGTAGTCTAGATCAGTGTTTCCCAAATGCTGGTCCTCAGATAGGTACTGGTCCTTGAATTAATTTCTACCAGTCTGCAACACGTCTTGGCTGTTGAAAGCATTGACACTTATTTACGTTTTTTTCAATATTTGATGACTAAAAGTCACCTAAGTCCTTTTCTCCAAAAAAATGTCTTTCGAATTTTACCAGTCCAAGATTGTCAATAGTTTAGGAACCACTGGTCTAGATAACTTATCTTCCTGCCCTGTAGTTGTGGTTCATCAATTTCTACCTCCTTTACAGTGTGGGTATTCTGGCTTTCAGAAGTTAGTCTACACAATTTGAATTTTACATTTTTGGAATTAAAATTAATTTAAACAAGTTTTCTCTGAAGCACCTTCCTACTCCTCTGAAATACTTTCCTTTCTGCTTTCCTACACCTGAAATTTTCTCATGACTGTAACTTTTAAACAAACATAATCTATGGGAGGAAAGCAGAGATTATGTAAAATCCAATGAGACATGTGCAGTAAGTCAAATGGAAAGTAGGAGAATGGAGTATTATGGGCAAGTGACGTATACGGTATGCAAATACGTAAAGGATATTCAGAAACTTTAAGTCATCTTGTTTTGACAGCATGAGTTCAAACTCAACAAGTAAAAGATTTCACTACTTCAGAGTTAAGTGCCTGATACAAATTATTCTATTTGCCTGACTAGGAATCAAACCTTTAATGTGAATTCTTCATATTTCACTGGTATGGTAATGATGCAAGGATTGGTGGTCTTTGGCTTAGTTGTCTTTTCGACTAATATCTTTCCACTCAGACACGAGTAATTCAATGGCTGATTTCACAAGCCTGTTTGTTATGAGGTCATTGTTGGGAAGTTAGGTTACTGATCAATGGTTGTGAATGTATTGTGGTCACATGATTCAGTTATAATTAGGTTACAAATCAGTGGTTGTGAATGTATCATGGTTATATGTTTCAGTTATAATTAGGTTACTAATCAGTGGATGTGAATGTATCATGGTCACATGTTTCAGTTATAATTAGGCTACTAATCAGTGGTTGTGAATGTATGATGGTCACATGTTTCAGTTATAATTAGGTTACTAATCAGTGGTTGCAAATGCATATGGTCACATGTTTCAGTTATAATTAGGTTACTAATTAGTGGTTGTGAATGTATCATGGTCACATATTTCAGATATAATTAAGTTACTAATCAGTGGTTGTGAATGTATGATGTTCACGTTTCAGATATAATTATGTTACTGATCACTGGTTGTCAGTGTATCATGGTCACATGTTTCAGTTATAATTAGGTCACTAATCAGTGGTTGTGAATGTATGATGTTCACGTTTCAGATATAATTATGTTACTAATCACTGGTTGTCAATGTATCATGGTCACATGTTTCAGTTATAATTAGGTTACTAATCAGTGGTTGCAAATATATCATAGTCACATGTTTCAGTTATAATAAGGTTACTAATCAGTGGTTGTGAATGTATCATGGTCACATGTTTCAGTTATAATAAGGTTACTAATCAGTGGTTGTGAATGTATCATGGTCACATATTTCAGTCATAATAAGGTTACTAGTCAGTGGTTGTGAATGTATGATGTTCACGTTTCAGATATAATTATGTTACTAATCACTGGTTGTCAATGTATCATGGTCACATGTTTCAGTTATAATTAGGTCACTAATCAGTGGTTGTGAATGTATGATGTTCAAGTGTTTCAGTTATAATTAGGCTACTAATCAATGGTTGTGAATGTATCATGGTCACATGTTTCAGATATAATTAGGTTACTGATCAGTGGTTGTGAATGTATCATGGTTACATATTTCAGTTATAATTAGGCTACTAATCAATGGTTGTGAATGTATCATAGTCACATGTTTTAGATATAATTAGGTTACTAATCAGTGGTTGTGAATGTATCATGGTCACATGTTTCAGTTATAATGTTACTAATCAGTGGTTGTGAATGTATCATGGTCACATGTTTCAGTTTTAATTAGGCTACTAATCAATGGTTGTGAATGTATCATGGTCACATGTTTCAGTTATAGTTAGGTTACCTCTCAATGGTTGTGAATGTATCATGGTTACATATTTCAGTTATAATTAGGCTACTAATCAATAATTGTGAATGTATCCTGGTCACATGTTTCAGATATAATTATGTTACTGATCAGTGGTTGTGAATGTACCATGGTCACATGTAACAGTTATAATTAGGTTACTAATCAGTGGTTGTGAATGTATCATGGTCACATGTTTCAGTTATAATTAGGCTACTAATAAGTAGTTGTGAATGTATCATGGTCACATATTTCAGATATAATTAGGTTACTAATCAGTGGTTGTGAATGTATGATGTTCACATGTTTCAGTTATAATGTTACTAATCAGTGGTTGTGAATGTATCATGGTCACATGTTTCAGTTATAATTAGGTCACTAATCACTGGTTGTCAATGTATCATGGTTACATATTTCAGTTATAATTAGGTTACTAATCAGTAGTTGTGAATGTATCATGGTCACATGTTTTGGTTATAATTAGGTTACTGATCAGTGGTTGCAAATGTATCATGGTCGTATATTTCAGTTAATTACCTTACTGTATTGTATTCTAATTCAAACAAGAAAATCCAGAAGGAGAAAAAAATGAACAGTCTTTATTTTAATACTGTCAGTTTAGTATTTTTTTTTGTTTATGTTTGATTACTACTTTGTTAGTCCTGGTTGGTAAACCATTATAACATTAGAATCAAATAAACAGCTTCCAGGTGTATTAAACAGAGAAAGTCTGGATTGATTCTGTTTGCAATAATTTTATGACTTGTTTTGTGTAGTCCTTTCGTGTAGTAAATCACTGCTTTCATGTGGATAAACTGATGGAGCAAGTTTTACTGGTTTCAAGATTTTTATTAAATAAAATCCTGATTTCATGTAGTAAAACTGAAATATGCTAAAGTTACATATCTGAACTGTAATTTACAAATACTACTGTTTTATTTTTGCATTTAGGTTATCCAAAACAATGTGATTCACAGCAGAAGTACAAAAGGTAATAAATGAAAGTACTGCTACTAAATGAATTATTCAGATAAAAAGTATCTCATAAACGATAAAGTATTTACTGTTACACTGATGTGTGTTTTATGTATGATACTAGATTGTTTGATTTTGAGACATTATATCTGATTACTTATACTAGTGATTCTAATAATTTTGAAATGGTTGATGTAAGATGTAGTGAGAAGTTAGTCATTTTTATTTGGTGGTTCCAGAAAAAGAGTGAGTTTTGGTAAGTAAAAATAATAGAAAATGTGGAATTAGAGAATAACATAATAGAATGTGGAAGTTAATAACATTTTAAAAATTTTAAACGTAAAATACTTTTTTTTAAAAGTAACTAAATATTGAAGGCTTTAGAAATGCCACATTAGAAATAGTGGAAGACTAAAGAACTTACTGAAGCTATAAATAGCATATGATGGGGAAAGGATTAAAATAAATAAATTATAAAATAAACATTTAATTTAATAGAGACAGATAAGTATTCACATAAATAAAGTACATACATTCACCTGGAGAAATAACACGAGTAAAAGAAACTACATGGAAGAAATATGAAAAGTAAAAAAGAAATGGGAAACATATAGACTTGTATATAGATGAAGAACAACAGAGGAAAGGAAAATGGAATTGTTTGAAGAGATAATAGATTTATAAGCTGAGATAAAATTATGTCTCATAAAGATAGAAAGAATAGATAATAAAAGTAGAAGAAAGAATTTGGTATTCAAAATAATTAAAGATATATTGGAAGAAACAGAGAGGAAAGTTAAAGATAGAAGTGGATTGTGGATTAGATTTTATGGTAGTGGAAATAGTTTATAGGTTTGAGGCCAAGACCAATAATAGAGAAATGGAAATTTAAAGGAACCCAGTTTCTCTAGATGAAGAGTTTTCAGAAAAAGGAAGAGTAGTAAAAAAGAAAATTGTTTGTAAAAAAGATAAAAACAAATAAATAGAAAGTAATAGTGAAATTTGTTCAACTAATAATTGAAGGGCAGTAATTTGTATGGAAGGAAAGTAAGAAAGATTTGGTTATTAAGAACTAAAAGTAAAGAAGAAATAAGAGATTATTCAATGATGCAGAAATACTCAATAAACAAAAGTTTTGGGAATATGTGTAGAAAATAAAGATTTTCTCATTGACGAAACGGGTAAAACAGAAAATTAAGTGTAGGGGAGAAAATAAGCTCACAATATGAAGTATAGAGAACAAAACAAGTTCACAATATAAAGTGTTGAGAACAAAATAAGCTCACAATATGAAGTGTAGGGGAGAAAATAAATTCACAATATGAAGTGTATAGAACAAAACAAGTTCACAATATGAAGTGCAGAGAACAAAATAAGTTCACAATATGAAGTGTAGAGAACAAAATAAATTCACAATATCAAGTGCGGAAAACAAAATAAGTTCACAATATAAAGGGTTGAGAACATAAGTTCCCAATATGAAGTGTAGGGGAGAAACATTCACAATATCAAGTGTAGAGAACAAAAGCTCACAATATGAAGCATAGAGAACAAAATAAGTTCACAATTTGAAATGTGGAGAACAAAATAAGTTCACAATATGAAGTGTAGGGGAGAAAATAAGTTCACAATATGAAGTGTAGAGAACAAAACAAGTTCACAATATGAAGTGCAGAGAACAAAATAAGTTCACAATATGAAGTGTAGAGAACAA